CACATCAAATTAACCAGAGAAAATGATGGATGGATGAAAAGGTGACTTTCAGGAGTATTTCAACATATCCTATAGCAGTTTTGCTATACAAAATACCTTCAAATAAATCACTTCCAATAAGCTAGAGGATTTGGAGTCATTATATGAAAAACATAAGGGGGATGTTTCAGCTGGCAAGCTTCACTGACTCGATTTACGTGTTTCTCCAATCTTAATCCGTGCACTAGGGGGAGCTCCTGCAACTCTCTATCACAATAGAAACCAGAGGACAGCATAGGGAACATTACGGAAATAAAGCATGAGAGAGATTTCAGAAAAAAGACATATTCTTCTGCCACTAGCAAGAATGACTGTATGAATTAGCACAACTTAATCTGCTTATATCTTCTGTGCTCGGTATGGCTTCCTCAGCACAAAGGAGATGAAGAATCACTTTCCCCCTTTTGGGATGCACGCTTCCAATGAAAAAGGCACGAATTTATGTAGGTTTTAAACAGTCGCAGAGATCAAGTTGTACAAAAACAAAGCTAGCATAGTTTTGATATGTGATGTAATTTTAATGGAGTGTGTCACAGGAAAAATATATGTGAGCAAAGTTATCAGGCTGTACCATAATAAACACAAAGAACTGAAGTCTGTACCGTAACAAACATAGGTTAAGAGGACCTCATTAACACTGCTCAGTCAGCCGCCATTATTGAAATATTCTGCTTTTGAGCACTTAATTTTTCAGCCTTCCTTTCAAGTTGATTTGTGTGTGTGTGTGTAGTTTCTTGAAGATGTGTTGTTGGGGTTTTTTTTAGGAAACTGCAATATGGAGATTCCATTATGAAAAACAATGCAAAACTTCAGCTAGGATCATTAGCAGGGTTAGGATGCTTTGACTATCAACTACTTGAATAAATACAATAATTGTTATTAATTACAGTTATCTATTTTTCTATGGTCTTTGGCATAGCACCCACATGCAAAGGAGTTTTGGACGTCTACTAACAGAAAAAAAGTATTTAGCACCACATTCCATAACAGAATGGAGATTCATGCTCTTGATGGGTTGGTTTGTCCTCTGTTCTTTCCCATATTCATTCCTGTGACTCTCTAATTCATTTCTGCAATGCCCTCTTCTTTAAAGTGATCATGTATCTCACGTCTCCAGAGTAGAACGAGCTATTTCTTTACTCATTTCCTACTTGGGCACCAGTAGAGGATGTAAAAGCACAGGGAAGACAACTGTGGTTGTCAGTGTCCAGCTTGATAATAACCAAAATGTTGTTCCAGCAACTAAAAATGAGTGATTTTGAGAAAACCCACGCTGTTAAGCATCAACACAAGAATGTCCAAGCAGCCCAGGACCAAAGATGAACAGTGCAAGGATTCTTCAGATGCAATGCGCACAGCCTGTGTATATAAGCCTGCAGTTAAACTGTAATAAGCCTCTAGTGAGGCAGTTTCAACTGAAATTTTTCAATATGGTTGATTTTGTAGGGGGTCACAAATGGCACCCTTTATTGTCAGAACAAACTCCAGACGTCAAGCTCCTAGTTCAAAGGACGGAATTGCTAGTGTACCACTGGGGAAAGCTATTTGATATGTGCTATGTGTTTTCCCCCAGACTCAATGTCAGGGAGGTTTGATCCATTTCAATTTAAAAATCAGCCAGGAGCATACTCTCAGCATGGCAAATTCAGTGTAAACAGTCAAAAAGTGGCCAAATTGTAAGAACAGGATCTTGCAGTGGGAAGCACCATGCAACCCTGCTGCCAGCTCTGCTGGTAATAGATGGAAACAGAGCCACTACCTATTCTGCCTGCATGCTGGAACCTGACCTCCCCTGTGTTCCAAGTACTCTTCTGCATCTTTTCCAAAAATGTATTTGAAATTATTATTGATTTTGTCATTTTGGCTTTAGGGTTATATTTGTCTCACAGATCCAGCTATATCCAACTGTACCCCATGAGAATTATTGAAAACTAGAGCTAGAAAGACTGGTGTACAGATATTACACAGCCTAGTTAAAAAGACCAAAGCTGTGTTATTTTCCTTTATGTAAGACAGCTTTAAATTGACTTTGTTTCCATTCCCCCATATATAACTGAGGACAGTAGTATACTCTGTCTCAGTATTTTATGCTCAATTTAACTGCTATATTGCATTAAATGATGTGCAATAATGTAACCCTTAATGCAAATGAATTCGTGTTTGGTAAAAAAAGAGAAAAATCTCTTTGCTGCCTTCTCCAAACAGATTTTTTTTTTAATATAGAATTTAATGAACTAGGAAAACCAAACATCCCCATATGGTAAGAAAATTTCAAGGCACGTAGTAAAAGAAAGGTCTTGTTACTCATCAAAAACTAATAGATGTGACAAAAGAAAAAAAAATAAGCTGAAGATGAAACTCAAATAATTAGCAAATATGGAAAATCATCTATTACAGAGCTTATAAAAGGCTTGGCAGAGGCTAAAAGAGGAAAACCACACATTTCATATTTCAAAGGTGGAATATATTGAATTTCTTTTGAAGTAAATTATTTATAGTTATGAATTTCCCTGGAAAATTAAAACAATGCCCTCTCTCCCGAAATAAATGCATCATTATGATCAGAATTATTGAAGACGTCTATCTTCTGTCTAAGACTGTAATATTTTTTTATCATATGAAAGATTTTGAGGAACTTTCTCTGAATCTCAGGAAATTCCTCACTCAGTCTTTTTGTGGACATCACAAAGTAGCCTGCAGGCTTCTCTGAGCTGTAGTTGCTACCAGTCCCACAGGCATCACTCTGGCAATTTAAAGTAGCCTAAAGACGTCTAGCAAACACTTCCCTTTCCCTGGATGAATGCCCTTCCCTGCTGCAGTAGCCATTTTGACAGTCATGTATCACCCTAAAATAAGCAAAATATATAAAAACTACAAACAGGGCTGTTTTCTGGTACCCTGATATTTTGTACTTTGAATAACTGGCAACTCCTTCCCTGGAGACATTCAAAACTTGCCTGCACACATTCCTGTGTAACCTTATCTAGGTGTTCCTGCTCCGGCAGGGGGATTGGACTAGATGATCTTTTGAGGTCCCTTCCAATCTCTAGCATACTGTGATACTGTGTGATACTGTGAATTTGGCCCTGCAATCCCAGCATATCCCTGATCATTCAAAACTAACTGCAAGGCATGAAGATCGACATGTTGTGTAAGCACTGTAACAGCTGTACAGTTTAAAATTGAGGGAATGAAGCTTGCATGCAGTAAACAAAATACTCAGGTATTTATCTCTCCTACATTTACCTTTCACTTAGCATAAGTAAAGAGATCCATGGCCATATGGCAAAACTGCAGAACTAGGATTCATTAAGTACTTCTATGCTGCGGAGGTTCTGCCACGTTTGTCATGGGACTGTCTGAGCTCCTCCAGGATGAGACAAGGTGAGAAGCATCTGTCACATATTTACCCTCCCAGCTTCCCTCCATAGAAATGTGTGGGAGGGAGAAGGATGGCTGGCTTTTGTATGTGTCTTGGAAAGGAAGTTAATATGGTTTACAAAGGACTTTATTCCTGTAAAAGTTAGTGGAGATTTTGAGCCTACCCCAGCCACGTTCTGTCTTCTACTCGCATGAACACTATTTTGCGCAGGAAGAGTCCTGTTGTTCTAGAAAAGCCCAGCTATTGGCAGCAGTATTCATCAACAAATTTTGCTCAGTTTCTAAAATAGTTTGTGCTTGAAAGTGTACACCACCGTTAGCTGAGCATCACTGCCCATTCCGGGGGGCATACCACCTTCTAGGAAAGATGGGTGTTTTTACCTTGTTATCTCTATCTGCTTCAGAAAATACAACAAAATATTTTAGTTTGGATTTTATGCCTGGTGCTCTCAGTCAGCAGTGAAGCAAGACCCCTGGCTTAACTCCAAGTGTAGCACTGAAATGCCAACAACTCAGAGAAGCACTGAGATGTAACTCACAACTAACTGTAAAATGCTTACAGCATGAAAGGTGCTATCTATCTAAGAATTATTACTTAGTGCATGGAAAAATGCTTATTTTCCTACAGGATAAGGCAGTGTCAGGAAATGGTATAGCATTAGTAAGATTCTAGAAAAAGGAACTGTTACATTTATACATTTAATAAAGGCTGAATGTGACAATTAAGAATGGTCAGTACCCTTAAGGAAGCAGGACAGACAGGGAGAGGTGGAAGTAGTTATTTTCGCATTAAGGAAACACACTAAAATATTCATTGTCTTTATCTGCTGTCAAGAGATGTTTTTGTGTAACAAAAATACCTTTAACCTTTTAAAGACATCACACAGGCATCCAATGTCCATCTCCTATGTCCAGAGAGAAGGCATCCAAGCAGGTGTTTATTACTCTAGCTTTTCTACTTCTGCCATAAAAAAATTCTAAAAATTCTAAAAATTATTAATCTATAGAGCAATGCCTGATAGTATTTCTTCCCACTATTATAATCACTTTAAACTGAGCATATTTTATATTCATGAGTGCTTTCACGTGGGTCCTCATCTGGTGAGACTGAAGGCACAGAACTATCTTACAAAGAAGAACTGGGATGTAAAGCTACCCTGTGAACACAGGAGAAAATTCACCCTAAGCAACAGGCCAGAACAATGCTTGTGCACCAGTTAAGACTTGGTTAAGCCTCAAAATAGGATTTAATTGTGAATGTTATGATCCATTGGTTAAGCACTGGTATTGTCACAGTGCTGCTTTTCTTCTTTACCCTCAGCACTTTCCGACAAAGACAGGACAATCAGATTATGACAGAAACTTCGTCAGCAGCACGCTTTCCAATAATGCTGATCCTGAACCAGTTGCTTTCTCCAGTTAAACAATACAATGTCTAAAGCATCCTTACAATTCATGTACTGTACTCACATGCATCAACCATATGCTTCGCATTTGCACCTGGTTCTTTTCAATTTCATGCTGTACTTTTGCATTTTTCATTACCAAATCTCCCTCCCCCAATCAAAGGTGTGATTTACCTTACTGCAATTTTTGGAAACCTGGCAAAGAGCACCGCTTGACATGCTGTCCTTATCTGGCATTCCTGAAAGAAGAATACAGAAAACAAATACATACTGTACATTCTTTCAGTAACAGTGGAGATATTTATCAATAAAAGATGGAATTGGGGGGCTCAGTACTTTGATAAGGCAAACATTAATCTATGGTTTTTTAAGAGCAAAACAGATTTGTTCAGACAAAGGTTTTCCCTTGTGAACACAAAAAAGACAAAAAGCTAATTTGTACAAATACTATAAACAGCTTACTAAACACAGCACTTTCTCACAACTTAATATTTGAAGTATGTTTACAGGACTTATTTGTATTTTTTCATTTAACATTATCTGTGATTTAGTACCTGGAAGCCAAACGTAATACTGAATTTGCACTACCTAGCACTGCTATGCTATGCTATGGTTTCACAAATAGAACACACTGAACACATAACATATGGGACTAAACTTGCAGATGCAATTGCTAACCACCTGATATTGCCCTGATTGGCACCTACATAATCCTCTGGAAACTAAATAAAAGTACTTTCATTTACAGAAGTGACAAGTTCTAAAGGCTGCCCTTGGATTCGTGTTTACAGCACTGTCCTACAGCCTAACAAGTTCTCCTGAGGCAGATGTACCCAAATCTATTTAGCTACATAACTAAGGTTAGACAGCAGTATGTTTACTGCAGGTTGCCTGCCCAAGCAAGCTGTGTAGCCCATCCTAACTGAAAATATAAGCCAGTTTGCTGCATTTAATTTACTAGCAAGACTAATGACTGTGTTCCATGGAATTCATGTAATACCTAGAACTAGCTAAATGCTACATGACATCATATAGTATGCTTTAATCAATAGGCCTGGCCCACAGTGAAGACTTTGTGTACAGCTCTATGTGCACTTGTACGCAGTGGAAACGCAGTTAGGCAAGTTCCAAAGTATTTCCTACTATATGCAGTGTTAATACAATTACCATTGAATCATAGAACATTTAGGGTTGGAAAGGACCTTAAGATCATCAAGTTCCAACCCCCCTGCCATGGGCAGGGACACCTCACACTAAATCATATCACCCAAGGCCTCGTCTAGCCTGGCCTTGAACACTGCCAGGGATGGAGCATTCACAGCCTCCCTGGGCAATCTATTCCAGTGCCTCAGCACCCTAACAGGAAAGAATTTCTTCCTTATATCCAATCTAAACTTCCCCCGTTTAAGTTTTAACCCGTTACCTCTTGTCCTATCACTACTGTCTCCAATGAAGAGTCCCTCCCCAGCATCCCTATAGCCCCCCTTCAGATGCTGGAAGGCTGCTATGAGGTCTCCATGCAGCCTTCTCTTCTCCAGGCTGAACAGCCCCAACTTTCTCAGCCTATCTTCATACGGGAGGTGCTCCAGTCCCCTGATCATCCTCGTGGCCCTCCTCTGGACTTGTTCCAACAGTTCTATGTCCTTTTTATGTTGAGGACACCAGAACTGCACACAATACTCCAGGTGAGATCTCACAAGAGCAGAGTAGAGGGGCAGGATCACCTCCTTCAACTTGCTGGTCACGCTCCTTTTGATGCAGCCCAGGATACAGTTGGCTTTCTGGGCTGCAGGCGCACACTGAAGCCAGCCCATGTTCATTTTCTCATCGACCAACACCCCCAAGCCCTTCTCCACAGGGCTGCTCTGAATCTCTTCTCTGCCCAACCTGTAGCTGTGCCTGGGATTGCTCTGACCCAGGTGTAGGACCTTGCACTTGGCATGGTTAAACCTCATGAGGCTGGCATCAGCCCACCTCACAAGCGTGTCAAGGTCCCTCTGGATGGCATTCCTTCCCTCCAGGGTATCAACCGAACCACACAGCTTGGTGTCATCGGCAGACTTGCTGAGGGTGCACTCAGTCCCACTGTCCATGTCAGTGACAAAGATGTTGAACAAGACCGGTCCCAACACCGATCCCTGAGGGACACCACTCGTTACTGGTCTCCAGCTGGACATTGAGCCATTGACCACAACTCTTTGTGTGCGGCCATCCAGCCAGTTCTTTATCCACCGAGTGGTCCATCCATCAAATTGATGTCTCTCCAGTTTAGAGACAAGGATGTCGTGTGGGACAGTGTCAAACGCTTTGCACAAGTCCAGGTAGATGACATCAACTGCTCTACCCCTGTCCATCAGTTCTGTAGCCCCATCATAGAAGGCCACCAAATTGGTCAGGCAGGATTTCCCCTTAGTGAAGCCGTGCTGGCTGTCACCAAGCACCTTGTTGTTTTTCATGTGCCTTAGCATGCCTTCCAGGAGAATCTGCTCCAAGATTTTGCCAGGCACGGAGGTGAGACTGACTGGTCTGTAATTCCCTGGGTCATCCATTTTCCTCTTCTTGAAAATGGGGGTTATATTTCCCTTTTTCCAGTCGTCGGGAACTTCACCTGACTGCCATGATTTCTCAAATATGACAGACAGTGGCTTAGCAACTTCATTCACCAGCTCCTTCAGGACCTGCAGATGGATTTCATCAGGACCCACGGACTTGTGCACGTTCAGGTTCTTAAGATGGTCTCGAACCAGATCCTCTCCTACAGTGGGCCTAAGGTCTTCATTCTCACAGTCCCTGCGTCTGCCTTCCAAGACTTGGGTGGTGTGGTCAGAGCCTTTGCCAGTGAAGACCAAGGCAAAGAAGTCATTCAGAACCTCAGCCTTCTCCAAATCCTGTGTAGCCAGTTCACCTGAGAGCTTCCTGAGGGGGCCTACGTTCTCCCTAGTCTGTTTTTTATTTGCTATGTACCCGTAGAATCCCTTCCTGTTATCCTTAATACCCCTAGCCAAGTTTAATTCTAACTGGGCCTTAGCTTTCCTAACCTGGTCCCTAGCTTCGCAGACAACATTCCTGTACTCTTCCCAGGTTGTCTGTCCTTGCTTCCACTTTTCATAAGCCTCTTTTTTCATCTGAATTTTCCTCAGCAGCTCCTTATCCATCCAAGGAGGTCTCCTGGCCCTCCTGCTGCACTTCCTTCTAGTTGGGATGCAACACTCCTGAGCTTGTAGCAGGTGATCCTTGAATATCAACCGACAGTCTTGGTCCCCTCTGCCCTCTAGGGCTGTATCCCATGGAACCTTACTAAGCAGGTTCCTGAAGAGGCCAAAGTCTGCTCTTTTGAAGTCCAGGGCAGTGAGCTTGCTGCATGCTCTTCTCACTGTCCTGAAGATCTCAAATTCAAGCATCTCATGATCGCTGCATCCAAGGCTGCCCTGGAGCGTCACATTTCCAACGAGCCCTTCCCTGTTGGTGAGCACAAGGTCAAGCATGGCACCTCTCCTTGTCAGCTCCTCTATTACTTGCAGAAGGAAGTTGTCTTCCACACAATTGAGGAACCTCCTGGATTGCTTGTGCCAGGCTGTACTGTCCTTCCAAGAGATGTCAGGGTGGTTGAAGTCATCCATGAGAACAAGGGCCTGTGAGTGTGAGGCTCTTCCTATCTGTCTATAGAGTGCTTCATCCGCAGGTTCTCCTTGATCAGGCAGTCCGTAACAGATCCCCACAGTAATGTCTCCCACAGATATCTTCCCTTTAACCCTAACCCACAAACTCTCTGTTAACTGCTCACCTGCCCCTGAATTGAATTTAACCTTTAAATTCCAACAGCCAAAACCAGAGGACTCCCCTCTTTTCCCTTTTCTCTAACATCTGATGTCTATTTTCTCATACTTACTGTCATTGTTAGAGCCAGTTTCCATAACACCATAAGGAGGAGTGAGAAGTCCAGACATATACTGCCGGTATTTCTGAAAGACAATGATCGCACATAAAGTCAAGTACAGATGTATAAAGCCATTCAATGGATTATGTGGTATTTACATTTGTGTGTCTGCTGCCTTGTGCTTCACATGCTCACATGTAATATGAGGCAGTCAGACATGTCTTTCCTCTTAATATTACAAAGTCCATTTTTTTGACTGGTGCACACTGCCTTTATTTTATCAAAGTTGTGCTAAAACAGTTCCCTCCTTCATCTTCCCCAACGCATGACTTTGAGGGTTCTACAAAATCAATACTGTACTCAGTTGTGTGACTTCCCATAAGGGCTATTTTATAGCTTATTTGAAATTACACTGCTCAGCTGAACTCAAGCTAGAAAGCTACTTTATTGTAGGGATGGAGACAAGGTTGTTAACTAAGGATTCATCAGCATCATGTATCACTACAATTTTGGGGTCAGATTTGAAATAGACAGAATTTAGTGCAAAAAACTCTAAATGTTTAATTTCAACACCACAGTAAGTTTGCTCTTCGGAAACTACAAGTTTATGAAACACACAAATCTAGCACTTCATGTTATGTACACACACACAAACTGTATTAGCAGATGAAACTTTGTAACTGTAAAAATAATGTCTCTTGTACCACTGTAAACTACATAATGGTAACTGATGTCAGTAACTGGTATTTTTCTTCAGCGAATGCTGGTGACATGATCGATAAAGTTCAAAGCTCTGTCTAGGGCTTAAGAAATTCAATTCACAGAAGCTAAAAAAAATAATACCAAAGGAAAAAAATGTCCTTTTATCAAATACAAATCATTCAATAAATGACACATTTTTGTTTCCAATCATACTATATTACTGTCATTCTTAAGGGTAAACAATTACAATTCCCTTTTGGAACTGTGAGAAAACAAGTTTGTGCAACAGGGATCTTGATGATCAGTGTAAATAAAATGTGTCATGCAGCCCTTAGGATGTGCAGTGAGCCGAACGTGAGCAACTAACCAGCTGAAATGCATGTAGGTTTCAACTAAGCACACAGAATAACTGAGACAGAAAATTTCCCTCATAGTGCAATTTTAATTTAGAAGTTTTATCCTTTGCTCTATGGAGCTGTTTGGATGCATTCACTTTTAAAATGCTGTCTGCCGGATTTTAACAATGCTTGAATTATCCTTTTAACATTGATTTGTCTTGGAAGTGGATATGCAAATATCACTAATTCTCCCACTAAAGACAACGTATTGCATTATGTATAATAACAAAAGCTACAAAGCTTACATTAATCTTAATAATCCAATCCTATTTTTAGACAAGCTATTACATCCTAAAGCTTATCTTACCCATAATCCAGCTGAAAACTCAAAAGAGCAAAACTATCTTATGTCCCTGGCCAGTCACAAAGAATAAATGTTACTTCATTTGAGGATAAAACTCTCCTATTTTCTTTCCCAAACCATTCACTTTCCATACACTGCTCCAGTCCTATGCCTCGAACTCAGTGAGAGGAAGAATGTGAAAGATTATTATTTTCTTAGTTCAGCTAGTAAATCACACACATAAACCAAGGGGAAAACTCATTTTGTTTGGCCAAATGAAAAAGGGAAAACATGTCACAAGGGGTTGTTTTATTCAAACAGTAGATAAGCATTTTCCTCTACCTTCTACTAAATTTGGTCTTGAAATGTGATTTAGAAATGGCAAATTGAAATGTTTCATCTGAGATATGATAAAATCAAATCTTATAGGTTGTTTTTTTTTTTCTTTTGTTCTTCCTCACCATTCAGGTTATATTCGTGTCTTTGTTCTGTTTTTCCCTAAATAGCATTTTCCCAGAAATACATTATTAGTCCACATTTAATCCACCTTGATAAGGAACTTGAATTGCAGGAAGACATTTTCTCTTTTATTTCCTATAGCACGTCCACAGCCATCATACACTGCATGCCAGTTTCCCTTCTGCTTAATTATCTACTATTTTTCCTGATTATTATTCTCATGAAACAAAACATAGAACACCTTATAATTTTCAAAAGATTTGGGGGCTTAGCTTAACTAAAATACCTACAGGTGGAATAAGCCATTACTGCTATAACACTTTAAAGGAGGCACCTAAACCCATTCAGCCCCACCTCATGCTCAGGATGCCAAAGCCCACCAGGAGCAAAAGCACAGACTGCCCAGGACTTCAACTCTGTCATTTTCCATATAGAAGGGTCTCACTTCATGCCATGGGATGAGTCTACTTACAAGTCTGATAGAGCAAGCCTTGTGAGCAGTGTTTGCCTATGAAGGAGTTCAGGCAGCATTACCAGAAGAGGTACTAATCCAAGATATGCCCTCAGAAAGCTCAATTGTTCAGACTCCTCCAGGGGACCTCTGCAGAAATGAAACTAACTTGTATATCTGGGTATCTGGAGAGAAGGCTGATATGACTGCCTACACATGGTCTCCCATGAAGGTACCTCGGTAGGGTGTGGGCTGACACAGAAGCTATAATTCATGCCTAAAATTGTGTCAGCTCATTAGCTAAATTAAATGTCAAGGGACACTTATTTGTCAAGCAATCAGGCGAACACTATTTGCTGGGAACCTTAACTATGTGAAGAAACACCTAAGTGTTACCTAAGTAACTGCATAAAAATTTACAGTATCAGATGGTGTAATGAAGTTCCAGGCATTAGATCTCTGGAAGCTGAGATAATGAGGAAAACACAATCCTGACTGTGAGACCTATCTTGTTACTGCAACGTCTGTAAATGAAAAGATAACGCAGAAAGTTAAATTGTACTCCTAGGTGGCATTTAAAATCATCCTGAAGATTAACAGACTAAATATTTACAAAAGGCTTTCAAAAATGTATTCTACTGATGGTATGAAGTATAGAAAAGCTTTCTTTATAAAAGACAGCAATAGTTATCAAATCGTCATAAGCTTGTTTGTTGCCAGATGTGTTCAAGTTCTGTAAATCCAACGTGACAGCAGGTTTTAAAACTATACTCAGTGACCTATTCACTTTGTCCCCAGATTTCTACCAATTTTTCAACTCTATCATGCAACAGCTAAAAGATCAGATACTTCCTGCAGTATTTTTCCTTCCATTTCTTGATCACCTCATATCCACGCAGTGGTGAAAATTAACACGACCTTTTCAGCCGCTATTATAGCCTAAAGTACAGAAGAGTGCTGACAAGGAACAGTTGGTGATGGGAGAAAATCAGATGCTTGCCTTAGTGGGGAGGTACTGTGGGAGAATTTTCATATCAACAGTTTTTAAGGTATTCATTGCCAAGCTTTTCAGTGTGTTCTTTCACATGCTTTTATTTAGACTCTATTTGCAGTTACCTGGAGTTAAGTCTCGAAGGTTTTCATGACTACAAAAGATTTTCTTCCACTCCATGAACATAATTTGGTACATTTTTATATGATAATGTTTAGAAAGGCAGTTACTATAATTCTGTTGCAAACTATCTCTAAATTCCATGCAAATTTTTCTAGTGTATATACGGTATAAAAAATACATCTTTGTAGTTAGTCCCTTCTCTTCTACTGCAAGTATTGAAGAGCTAATACCCGTTTAAAGGGAAATAAGGAGAAAAAAAAAAAAAAAGAGATTTAAACAATACAAACACTCCAAAACAAGCCAGGTAGATGTGAATAAAACAAATGGGCATTTGCTCTCCATGAGCATAGCTATGACATGTCCATGTCCATAGCTAAACCACAGCATTCTAATGGGAAAGACTGATGAAGGGAAGACCTCCTTTGCTACCTCTCCTTGGTACAGCTTTGAACACAGGTTCCACAACACATACTCCTCTATGCCCCCAGGCACAGCAGCTCTCCAGTCACCAAAGAGTATCTGATGGGCTGTGTAATAAGGACCCAGGTAATGATGGTCTGTCGCACTAGGGAGTCAAGTCAGGCTTCTGATGCTTCCCCATGCCAAGGTGAACCCACATGTGGCCAAATACTAGGAAGTGAGTGTCTTGTAACATTGGGTGAGGTTTTGTAGACCGCAACAGATGCCTGAATATATCACCTCTTCCTCCTCTTTCTCGCCCACTCACAATCTCAGTCCACAGTGTCACTTCTGACCAGATGCACTTCTGCTGCCTACTGTTCTGCCTACCACTGACAACTGAGAAGGTGACAAGGAAGAGCTTTACTTGCAAACTTGGGAGTAACACAAAGTAATTCATTTCAGTTGTAAAAATCCTAGACCAAACATCAAGGTGCCCTTTCCACAAATGTTTCTCAAAACCTTACGTAACTATTACATGCTGTTATTTTGACTGTTACCCCAGTTCTGCAAACCTCTTGTACTAGTTGTCCATACTGCTGCAATGGTGTCTCTTGGGGAATAGATGCTGCAGCTTGGCAATGCGGGCCAGCTTCTCTATTCTCGTTTGACAATAAATAATTGATTACTGATGCTCTCAGTACAACTCTCTTCTTCCTCTAAGTTTGCTGCACCAGTCATTCCATTTTGGCAAGGAACCATCTTCCTTGTGAGCATTACTCAGAAGGGTGCATCACTCCCACAGTGCATTGTATCTTCTTTTTTTCCCCAGAACAAAAAGGAGAGATGCAAAAGAGCGCCTGAAAATGTGAAAGAAGTCCCCTTTCCACTCACCAAACCAAGCAGAGATTGCTGTCTCGGAGCCTAGATCTTTGCCTTTAGATCTGATGGTCCAAATATTGCTCTTCACTGAACTGACAGGCAAAGTCCTAGATCATCTGCCTGTTATGTGTCAGTGTTTTCCAACAAAAAGTGCCTAATGTCCTTACAGAATTTCACAAGAACAGTAACTGAAAATCATATTCATAGTTGTTTATTACTCAAATCTTGTTACAAAGGGGAAAACAAATGACAACACTGTTGCCCAATAGTATGTGCTGAGATCCACAAGAAGACTCTGGCATAATTCTGATTTCAGATACTGCCACCTTAGTACGTTTATAAATTAGTAACTGTATTTCTTCTAATCAAGCTCAATCAGAAAATCTCCATACGTTTC